GGCGCAGCCCTGCTCCCGGCGCTCGGCTCACCTCCGATGCCCAGCGGGCCGCGCCTGCGCAGTCCGCACCCACGTGCATCCCGCGCCACCCACACGCTCCCTCCGCCGCCCCGCCCCGGAAGCGGAAGCTGCGCGTGGCCCGTGGTGGTGCGTCTGTGCTCCGGTGGGGTCTAGAAGCCGCAGCCTCACAAAGTTCCTCCGCGGGTTCAGAAAGTTCCTGGGCGGAGCCCTAAGGGCGCTGTTGTTCTAGCTGCTTCTAGAAAGGCGTCCGCGGGACGTCGAGGCCAAATTTTGAGCTAACGACGCAGACCTCGTCTCCGCGAGGGTCGCTTGGGTGACGTGAACCACTTAAAATCATACAAGGTTTGTCAGATTAACCACCGCCTCCGCCTGGTCTTGGAAACTAAACTCGCGTGATCACTCTTGCTCCCTTACGGGGAGAGGTCATGATGTGTCGGCGTTACCCAAATGAAATAGTTTGAAAACTTTGTTTAAAACTATGTGCCTGTCAAACAGGTTCGGAGAAAACGGGTACCCCCATGTATCCATCACCAGTTTCAACATTATCAAGTCACAGTCCATCTTGTCGGCTTCTAACCCCCCCCCCTTGTTTTGAAACAAATTTGACTTCGTTTTTTTGTAATTTGTTTAATTTTGGGAACAGTTTTAAATGTACAAAGTAAATTAAGATAGTACAGAGTTACCACAAAAAACACACCAAATTTCCCATATTATTAATGTTACACCAGGAGGATATATTGTTACAATTAAGAAACCAATATTGATGCATTATTACTAAAGTTCATAGTTCATGTAGATTTCCTTTGTTTTTATCTATTGTCCTTTTTCTGAGTCAGGGTCCCATTCAAGATACATTACATTTAGTCGTTACAGCTCCTTAGGCTCCTCTTGGCTGTGGCAGTTATTCGGCTTTTCCCTGTTTGGATGGCCTTGGCAGCTTCCCGGAGTCCTGGCCAGGCACCTTGTAGGATGCCTTATTGCTGAAATTTGTCAGATGTTTTTCTCATGGTAAGACTGGAGTTATGGGCTACAGGAAGGAAGACTACAGAGGTTAAGTGTCATATGTATTGCATCATATCAAGCGTGTGTCCTATGAACATGATTTATGACAATGATGTTTTCCATGAATGCCTAGCAAGAGTTTCCATGAACACCTATAAAGTTTCTCCTGTTCCCTCTTTTTCCATACGACGCACTTTAGAAGGATGTCATTATTGCAGTCTACATCTAAGGACGGGGAGTTATACTTCCACTCTGAAGGGCAGATTCCCTACACACGTTATGTGGAAATCTTTTGCAGGAAAATTTGCCTCTTCTTTATTTATCAACATACTCAATGATCTGTCTCCTTATGTCTCTTATTTTATACTTCGGGTTATAATCCAGGACTATGTTATTTCCTTGCTTAATTTGTTCCAACTTTCACCATTGGGAGCTCTTTCAGTTGGCTCTTGTTCTGCTTTGACGTACTCCCATCAACGTGGGTTTTTCTATTTCTTGAGCACTTTCTTACTTTCTGAGACAGTGTATGTTTTCATGCACATGCATCTAAATATGTATACTTAAAATCTTACAACTGTTATAAAACATCACTAAAATGTATCTCACCTTTGAAAATAATTTTTATTTTTATATTTTTAAATCCTTATTCGAGGATATTTTTTTCATTGCTTTTCAGAGATAGTGGATGGGAGAGATAGAAAGAGATAGAAACATCGATGTGAGAGAGGCACATCGATTGGTTGCCTCTGGACTGGGGCCGGGGATCGAGCCTGCAACCAAGATGCATACCCTTGACTGGAATCAAACCAGAGACCCTTCAGTTTTCAGGCCAACGCTCTAATCACTGAGCCAAACTCGCTAGGGCAAAATAATTTCTTAATATCATACAATTAGTATTTAAAATTTTTAGATAGTCTCAAATGATTTTTGATAGATGATATGTTAAAATCAGGCTCCCAACAAGATCCAATATTTGTGTTATGTATTTAAAAAGAAATTTCTCTTTTAATCCTTTTATTTTCTTGTAAATTATATATATATATTGAAGTGACTGCGGTTTTTCTCACATTGGATTTTGCTGATTGCATCCCTTCTGGCAAGAATACTTCACAGGTCATGTTGTGATCCTCTGTTGCAGAGATTTTCAGCCTTTTTCACCTCATGGCACACATAAACCAATTACTAAAATTCTTTGGCACACCAAAAAATATATTTTTTGCTGATATGACAAAAAGTAGGTATACTCTTGATTCACTCACATTGAATGGCTATTGTGTTTGCTGTTGTAATTTTTTTAATTTGACAATCTAAGGGAAAAGAGGTCAGTGCCCCTGACTATACAGTCAGGCATTACATTTTTAAAAATTTTGCAGCACACCGGTTGAAAAATCGCTGCTCTGTTGCATCACATCATAAGACACTTAATATCTAGCTGTTCTCTTTCAGGAATATTAAAATAGGTCTAGAAGGTTCAAATGTTGTCAGCCCCATCCATCTATCATAAAGTTTCCTATCAGCTTTTCATGTTCTGATTCTAGACTCACTGCTGATCATTACCTAGAGCCATTATTTCATCAGGATTTGCAAAATGGTGATAGTCTATCTTCTGCATTTATTACCTGGAAATCTATAAGGAAGAACCTTCCACATCCACTATTTGATTAAAATTCAGGTTGTAACAGGAAAGATAGGATGCTTGATTTTTTGTTTTCAGAATGTGATGATTCCTTGGCATCCTTCAAAGGTGACCAGTGATGTTTTTAAAAATCAGCACACACATTGATTTTTTTTTATTGATTTGAGAGAGAGAGAGAGATAGAGAGAAAGAGAGAGAGAGGGAGATTGGTTGTTTCACACTTAAATTATGCATTCATTGGTTGATTCTTGTATGTGCCCTGACCAGGGATCAAACCCAAAACCTTGGCATAGCCAGATGATGCTCTAACCAACTGAGCTACCCAGATGTGTCTCAATCAATTGCTGTTGTTACTTTTGAATGCTAAAATTGCTCTATCTTTGGTCTGTGGAAGCACCTTTAAATTGCCTCCTGAGTTATTTGACCCAACTCCTATTATCTTTGCTTTCTTCTTTGTTTTCTGGTACAACCAACATGATCTAGGCTTTCTTATAGATATCTTGCCCCAGATTTAGAATCAGCCTTTGCTCTCCAATTGGAGCCCAGGTGACTTTTCCTGGGAAATTATATTCAGAGATGATAGTCTGGAGAATGGGAGTGTGCATTGCATTGATCATTGTTGTTGCCCTTTTCAGTGTACAGACTTTTTAATGACAGAAAAAAAAATTGCCCCAATGAGTTCATATGGATATTTCTAAATTTAAATTTAGAATTGTGGGGTTTTTACTTAATTTGATTTTATATTTGTATTTTGTTTCTCCAGTACTGAAAATCTTGGTTCCTGGAAGACATAATTACATGCTTTATACAAATATATATTTCAGAAATAAAAATACAGATATTATTGCTGACAATATGAGTACTATAAAAAGATTAAAGTTTCTTTGTTTTCCCCCTCTTGGAATAATATATCTCACTAGAAATATTTGGTCAATTTATTGTTTTAAAGTCAAATCATTTCTTTACTGTCACAGACACTTTAACTACAAAAGTGTTTTAATGCATTATCTTCATTTCAGTAGAGAAGAGCCATTTCCTGTTTAAGGGAAAGAGGAAGAGAGTTACACAAGTTTTTTTTAAAAGTGATTTCTTTGTTTTCTCTCTCTCCGTCCCTCTCTTTTGCCAGCAGTTAGTAACAGAGCTTAAGGGAACAGTAGTAAGTTTTGATACTGAACTCAAGGGGTTCACTGCTTGGTATAGGCTATTCAAAATATGAGACAACTGTCACAAGGTAGTTTTATTTACTTGCAGCAAGTAGAGGAGTCCAGGGATTCACATTCAGAGCTCTGCCTCCCCAAAGGGAGGCTTAGCCATTGCTTATATACAGTTTCGTCAGCTACATACTGACTTCTTTGCAGTTACCTACTTTCATCCAGATGAGCTTCTGTCCGCTCATCCTGTTTACACACCTGCATCTACAAAATGCTGTGCTACATTGTAACACTTAGTAAGAAATAACATTTCGAACTGCCCAGACCTTTAGACCTTTGTCCTATATAACAGTTTTGCTTTACAAAAACACTTGCATTTACCACTGTCAGAATTAACTATGTTCATTCACCAGTGGTGTGTAAGAAACCCCAAACCAAACAAACAACAAAAAACATTACTTCACTGGACACAGTAGGTTTGCAAAATCTCCAGCCTGGAACTGCTCCCCTGACTTCTTCAACCCCAACTGAGCCACTCTCTTCAATGCATCCCACCTCCCACCCCCAGTGCACGTTTTGTTGCTAATTACTGAGCAGCTCCCGCGTGTCACAACCCACGCTGCTTGCTGGGCCACCGAGGCCCGAGAGGACGTGCCCTGCGCGCCAGCAGCTCTCAGCCGGGAGCCAGGTTCCAACGCGCCCGCAGTTTGTTATCAAACAATGGCAGAAGGTGCCACTCGTGGAAGGAACGCGGCGTCAGGGAAACCCCGCGGGCTCTCCCAGGAATGACTGTCGGAGGGGCAGGTAGGCTGCTCCCGCTGGCTCCGCCCACGTCAGGTGCAAGGTTTGCGCATCCGAGCCGGGAAGTCGTCATTTCGAAATCTCTTTTATTGCTTTATGCCCCTGACTAATAGAGGAAGGGCCAAAGGATGAGGAGGATTCTATCCAATGAGCGCGGCCCACAGAAAGAAGTAATTCCCGTGGGGCCGCAGGGGCGTAAGAGGTAGGACAGGACTCGCCACGGCAGAGCCTGCTTCGCCGGGGCGTGGGCGCCGCGAGAGCCGGGGGGCCGCTCTGGGGCTGGCGGCCGCGCCGC